TCATTTTAATTTCATTATCTGCAGTACACTTGTAATGCTAACAACACAAAGCTTGCAGTGTTTGTCAACAGTATCAGTTACACTTGTGATCAACCAGGAAACGTGGTCAGTTAATAACTTAATATAGCACACATATAGAAAAAGTAGTTTAGGAGTTGATTGTTTTAATTTTTTTAGCTAAATGTCATAAACGATGATGGTATTGTTGCCGGGAACTATTCAATGCCCTTCTTCTTTTGAAAGGCTTTGTCAGGTCAGAATAATGAAAGATTGAGTGAGCATTTGAGAGAGCGAGCCTAAAAAAGAGCTTTTTTAAGTAAAATTTTTGGTATTTTTTTAGAAATCCATCGATTTTCCTACAACTAGTCCTCCTACATCTAGTTCCCCCACAACATCTTCTACAACTGCCAGCACACCATCATCTGGTGTTGCAATTAATTTCATGAAGTTTCTGCTCCTGGTACCTTTGTTTACTGCCTTTCTTGCCATCTTTGGATGATGAACTATTTTTATTCTTTCTGTTTTTTTTTATTTTAAAAAATTAATTTAGATAATTAAAGTCAGTTTATTAAAAAGTTAATGACAATTTATTAAACAATAAAAAATAGCTAGCGTGAAGTTTCATTCTCAGTACAGTACTGTCACATCACTTGTAGCAATGATCAGTAACAGATGTTCTCAGCTGCTTTGCTTTTGCCTTCTTCTCTCAGCAATCGAAAGTAATTGCGAATATCAGTGCTCTCATCACGGAGAGGAAAAAGTACACAAAGCCACTGCTGTTTACCGGTTGTAAGTAACATATATTTTTCATTACTAGATAGCAAGGGTGCATCTAAGAAAGCCCGGACATTCAGCTGTGAAGCGCTCATTGACCGATGATGTCTTTAATCAGACATTTCGCGTTTATGCTCACTATGACAGCTCGTTTTCATCTGGGTAAGTTTTTGAGTATAATTATGCAGCCATACGTGCATCCTGTCTTCCTTTTGTACAGATTATCTTCAGGAGTGCAGTCTAGAATTGGAGTTAGTCTAACTAGATATGAACACATGCCCATGTTTTGTCTTTTCTTATTCAAACTAGGACATCGTGAAGAATGTGACTGACTTCTTACAGGAAACATTATCTGTCAGGCAAACTCCATCCCCCATTCTACTAGACAGGTTGGTAGCTAGTAACAAGTTTCATTCCTTTAACTTTATTTCTTTCCGGCTGTAGGGATTGTTCGGGTGGTCAATTCTTTGCAAGACCTGGTGATGTCAGACCTTGTTTCCAACAATGTGAGACGACTACTACTTGTGGAACTGCTACTGTACCTCAGGAACATTTACTGGTAAAGATTATCATGAAAAAGTTAAAACCGAATTAAATAACCAGCATCCTAGACTAATGATATTACTTACTTATCAAATTATCAAGTCAGTACACTAATTTTCATGTCACATGTTTTACTTATGACTAAAGCATGCAATATCCATAATAATTATAGCTGTTTCAATTATGCCATTCATTTATTTTATGTAGCGCTGTATTGAATGTGGAGGAAGCTTCAATCCCAGTGCTTGTACTGAGTCTGGTACTGATGGTGCTGGTGTTAGCAATGCTGATTATGTCTTATACATATCTGCTGTTAGTACTGGCTCATGTACTAATGGTGGGTCTACCATTGCTTTTGCTGGAGCTTGTCAAATGGAAGATGAGTATGACAGGTAACAGGAGAAAGAGGGAGGGGAATGAGGAAGGGAATGGAATCTGAGACAAAAATAACAAGAGCGAGAGAAAAAATGTTATCGTAAAGTTACATTGTAGATATTATACTTTTGTACACACAGGCCAATTGCTGGGTATATAAACTTCTGCTCTGGAGGCATTACAAGTGCTAGTAGTGACCTATTCATATTCACTGTGGCTAAGCATGAAGTACTGCATGCTTTGGTAAGCTGTCCCATTGTTTTTATTGACACTACATGCCTTGGCATTGTTTTTATGTCTACAACCTGACTTAGTGAGCCAACTCAGCCAATTATCAAAATAATGATTAAATATTATTGCTACATAATGTAGGGATTCTCAAGTGGTCTGTTTCCATGGTTCAGAGATGAAAATGGTAACCCAAGGACTCCTAGAAATTCAAATGGATTTCCACCATCAGCTTCGGGAGGGTAAGTGATATAATAATGAGATAATAATTATTATTATGGAAATTCATTTGCTATCA